CCGGGCCGTGCCGGGCTGTACCGGGCCGTGCCGGGCTGTGCCGGGCCGTGCCGAGCCGTGCCGGGCCGTGCCGGGCCGTGCCGAGCCGTGCCGGGCTGTGCCGAGCCGTGCCAAGCCGAGCCCGTCCCAGCGCTGCCCCCGCCCGGCTCCGGGACTCCCGGGACCCCCCCGGTGTTTCCCCGCGGAGCCCCCGGACGCCCCCGGGGCGTTCCACCGGTTCAGGTTCCCGAGACCAGGTGGGGAGGGGGCGATCCCAGCTCCCTCAAACCGCCCGTGCCAGGTTAGAGCGGCAGCCAAGACAGACACAGAGGGGGCTGAGGACACGCCAGGGTCCCCTGCACAGGGGCACTGGCAGACGTGGTGTGACCCCAGAGCCACTGGTGGGCTCCGGCTCGCCGTGCCCAGCACAGGCAGGCGGCAGGGAGGACCAGGCGGCCGCTGTCCCCAGGACATCCAGCTGCAGGGCAGAGCTCCTGTCCCTCAGCCAGGGAAAGGCAGCCCCAGGAGCCTGGCCCAGACCCAGGCTCATAAACCGCTGCTATTTTAAGGGCTTGCAGACAATTTTTCTTAATTTATCAAGCCCCAGGCCAGGAGTTTGTTCCAAAGGAAATGTTTCCTTAGTAAAAAAGGGAACCACAGAGGAAGCTTTAAATGCAGCAGCCTCTGCCTCCTTGCCTTATCCAACAGCCGGGCAGTGACCTGGAAAAGCAGAGCCAGTTCTCAGCCACCAGCATGAAAAGGAATGTGCTAGGGCAACAGGGCTGTGCAAACAAGTGTGAAGAGAGCACCAGGAGTATCGGGGTACCAGATGGCCATCAGAGGGACGTGGGACAGCAGGGATGCTTCCAGCAGGCAGCCCACCCTCGAGGCAGAGGTAGCTGCTGCTTGGGTGCCTGGGACAGCCACATTCCCTGGGATAGCCACATTCCTCAGAGCCACAGCCTGCCCCACTCTCTCCCCACAGGCAGGAAAACCATTTGCCTTTTCTCCCTTGCACTCCGTGAGTCATGTTCCTGTTCCCACCAGAGGCCGTTGCTGCTGCCCCCCAGCCAGAGCCAGGGCTCCAAGAGCCCCAGGCAGCGCCAAGCTGAGGCTGGCAGCACACCAGTGGCTCCCAGTGCCCACGGATGGATACTCCACGGGCTCTCACCAGTGCAGGGCAGATGGACAGCAGCTCACATGGCTCTGCACAGGCCTGTTTGCCTGCCTACATAAATTAATCAGAACTAATTGGCTTTTCAGTAAGTCTTCTTTGCAGGAGCTCTGCAGAGGAAGACTGAAGTAGGACTACGAGTGGCAAAATCTTTATTTAAACACACAGTGCTACACAAGGACAAGCTCTCAGCTCCAGCACCACTCCCTGCTCCCTTCAGCATAGATGCCAACAGGTTCAAACCTCGTGCATAACTTTCATTTTCCATTATGTGTACCCAGTTTATTTACATCTCACTGATTACAGGAGACAAACAACCTTCACCAGAGGTGACACTTGACAAGAGCTGGCTGCACCTAGTGACAGGACACAAACTACTGGTGCCACGGAGCCTTTCCCAAACGAGAGACCATGGCCCAGCTCTCCCCATCCCATACTGTCAGGATGGGACAATCCCTCACAGTTTAGGAGGATGCAACACTCTGCAGAAGTCTGGGAAATGGATGCTCCAGGTCAGAGATGTGATGCAAAAATCCTGTGCAGAGATCAACTGCTCCAGCTCCCCTCTGCACCAGTTCTGAGATCACTAAGGAGAATGTGGGCACTGTCTTTCCCTGCCCTGGTCACACCAAGCTGCTTTTACTGTGGGTTCCCAGCCCTGTTAAGCAGATCCAGTGCAGTTAAGCTGTTAAGCTCACCTGAATAGGGCTGCTCTGTGTGAGGCTGCTAACTCAGAACCACTCGAAAATATAGACATACATTCATAGACTCCATACCAAGAAAGGATTTAGACATCTTCCAGCTCAGCTCTCCAGTTAATAAATAATTGGCTCCAGAAGCACTGCAGTGATCCAAGGCATGAGAGGATGGGGTAGAACCTGGGGCACAGCCAGTGCCAGTGCAATGGCTTATCCCTCCTCAGGGCTCTGGGTGCACAGCAGAGCTGGGTCACTGCTCCAGTCTCCTAGACTGGAGACTGAGACAAGGTCCACAACAGAATGAAGGTGTGAGGGGCTGAAAATTGGGAGCACAAGGCTGGGATGACCATTGTGGGGCCACAACTGGACTTGTGCCAAGCTGAGCATTGCCCAGCTATCTGTGGGACTTTACTCCCAGTCACACCCTGTGTGAACCCCAGCTCCCAGCTCCAGCAGCAGCTTCAGTATCACTGGCCAAAGCATCACAGGGCAGGAGTTGGGGGTGACTGCAGCAGGTATGAGTACCCCAGCAGCCCCATGGCTGCCACACAGGACTGCAGTCAACACAGCGATGGCAAGAGGCAAAGGATATGCTGAGGAGCCCAGGAGCCTTCAGGCTTCTCACAGCATTGAGAAAGTAGCAGCATAAAAACATCCCTCAACCCCAGTGTTCACTCTCTATCCAAGGCCTCTCCGTGTCCACCTGGGACTGGGATGCAAGCAGGTGGAGGGGGATGCTCTGGACAGGGGCACAGACTGAGGGTCCAGGTTTCTTACTCTTCTTGCAGTTGGCTCAAAAAACAAGTGCCTAGAGGAGGGGTGGCCCTGAGGCAGCGACAGTGTCCCACTCGTCTCCATCCAGGCAAGGTGAGACCCACTGCCCCAGGCTCATTCAGCATCACGTGTAGTTGCCGGGGCCACCCAGGGGGATCACGAAGACAGAGATGTCATCACCAGAGCCCAGCTTGTCGTTGGCCAGCCGCCAGCCTCGCTCCTTCAGTACCCCCCGTGAGCGCACCACCAGCTCCTGGGCCACCATGGTGTACCTGGAGGCACAGCAGAGAACGGCTCAGCAGTGATCCCAGACCTCTGATGCAGCATCCTGGCAAGGAGGGAGAAGCTAGAGCAGCTAGAAGTACAGGAAAGAGTCCCTTGGAGAGATCCAGGCTCAGATATGCACATCCAGGAGAGCAATGCACGCTGCAGAGCCCAGAGGGACGTGTGGCCACAACACTGCTCTGAGGAGCCAGCCAAGGGGAGGTGGTGGAGTGCACGACATGCCCATACCCCTGCCCACCTGCAGCTCACCTGCACGGGTCGTTGGGCTCATAGCTCGTCAGCACCTCCATCACCACAGCAGCCACCTCCTTGTCATTGGTGACATCCCAGAGCCCGTCGGTGCCCAGCACCAGGACATCGTCAGGGCAGTGCTCATACTGCGTGAGGTCATAAACCCTGACCTGGCAGGCAACACGGCAAGATGCAAGGGTGAGAGGCGGGGAAGGCTCCTGCTGCCCTGGGCAGATCGTGGATCTGGTCCTGCCAGGTGGCTCCGGCCACTGCAGGAACCCCTGGGGGGAAGCAGCTGGAAGCCAGGCTCACCTCTGGGAAGCAGGACAGGAAAGGCTTGATGTGGATGTTGGAGCTGAACACCTTGAGGTCATGGTCTCCCAGGCCTCTCGTGACCCCAATTGTGGCCATCATCCGAGCCTGGACAGTGATGGAATCAAAAGAGAACTGTAAGCAGCTTTATCCCCAGCTCCATTCCCAGCTGAGAACTGGTGATGACAACACTACCAAAAATGGGCCGAAATCACCCAAAACAGTGAGAGCAGGCATGAAACAACCTCTGCCAAACTTCTATCACAATACTTTACCTTTTTGCCTTCCCCAAAGATAAGTGGAAACTTCAGGTCATCCTCTTCTATCTTTTTGTAAGCCCTGGTTAAAATAAGCCAGAGACAAGGTGTCAGCAGGTGAAGGCTTCCAGCAGCTCTGCTGCCTACTTGGGACCTGGGTACCCAGTGTGCCAGAGCCCCCTGCCCCGTGGGATGGGATGCCAGAGAGGAGCAGCCACCACAGCAGGACCCCAGTGCCACCAGCGGGTTGGGGATTACCAGCCATTCATGTTCTGGTCCCTGTAGAGCATCTTCTTCCCCAGCTCCTTGGGCTGGATCCTGCGGGGGAACTCCAGGTGGGTGAACTCCTTCCCCAGCAGCTCGGGCCTTAGCAATGCCTGCAGGAAGAAGGTTCAGCTCAGCCACAGGGCTGGGAGGGCAAGATCTGTGGATCCAGCCCTGCCCAGATCAGGATCCACCCCCCACCAGGACTTTGGCTACAACATTCCGTGGAGGGATAACACTGGCTGCTCTGGAGCCACTTGAATAGGTGCTGGTAAAGCAGCTTCAAACCATCCACCTGTGCTAAGCCAGAGGGGAAACTGGAGCTGAGGACAGCCATGCCAGCACATAGCAAGAAGTTGAAGGTTTTGCAAAGAGGGTTTTGGGGAAATAAAGATCTCCAAAAATGGATCAAACAGTCAAACCCCAGAAAATTCCAGAAGCTGGAATTTACCCAGAAGGAGTCATAGCTGCAAACCTCCCAGGATCCCAGGCTCAGTGCAGGGTATGGCACTCACCCAAGGAAAAGAGTGATGGGTCTTTTCTGAAACAGTGTCCCAGCTGTGAGTGTGACAAGGGATGAGCAGCAGCACAGAGCCCTACCCAGGGCAGCCCCAAGCCCTCATGGAGCACAGTGTGGAGGGGACCAGGAACAGGGAGTGTTGGAAAGTGCTGAAGGGGAAAGAAAAGCAGGAAGAGAAAAGGAGATCCCTTGGGAAGATGGGGTGGCAGGGGGTTGGTGCAGAGGCACGGAGACCCCCAGCCCACTCTGGGGGAGCCCTGAGCTCAGGCTCAGCATCATGTGGCAGAGCAGCGTGTGCCTGTCCCCAGCCTGTGCCCCGCCCCTCACAGCCAGCTGAAGAGGATTCTGATCACAGCAGTTTCCTCCTCTCGGTCATTCCAAAATAGATTCAAGGAAAAACGCCTCAGTGTTTTTCCAAGTACATTGCAAGCCAGGAAATTTCATCCAGCAAGACCTTCTCCAATACAAACTCCTCCTCCCCTGTGCTGCCCTCAGAGAGGTCTTTATAACCTCAAAGAGTCTCCCTGGGTGGCACCAGGGGGTTCATCCAGGAGAGGAACAGGGAGCATTCAGGGTAAAATTCAGAAGCCCGTTGGCACACATCAGCTCTGACTCTCCAGGGAGCAGCCAGGGAAGAAACTAGGACTCAGCAGGGGCACTGCAGCAACTCTGAAAGGGAGCACGGTGGATGGAGAGCTGCACTCCTCCAGGTCACAGCAGCCCAGGCAGGGGATGCTCCCTGCTCCCTGAACAGCAACAGGACAAGATGGACCAAACTGGCTCCATGCAAACGTGTCAATCCAGCCCCATGCCAAAAGCCTGGGCTCTCCATGTCCTGTCTGTGCCAGGCTCGCAGTCACAGACCCTCACACTGAGCCCACAGCAGGGCTCTGCCACACACAAAATGCCCCCATGCCAGCTCTCTGCATCTCAGTGCCTCTTCCCATCCCAGGCAGCAGTCTGGGATGGACAAGTGCCAGCAGCAGGGTCTAGCCATGGGGCTGCCCTTGGGTCCAGAACCCCACCAGGGCAGCAGCCCAGCAGGCAGGACGGGGGACTGGGAAGAGGCCAGGAGGTGTTTCAGCAGGAATGAGGTTAGAAGAAAGGTCTTTCTTACTAAAAATTGCAGCCTCTGCCTCTCTGTCTCTGGAGTAAACTCCCTGGACATTGGAATGATTTCCCCATTACGGATGATAATGGCCCTGCAATGAGACATGGAAGGATGAGATTAGAGAGAAGGAGACTTGGTGGAGGAGCTGAGCCTGGATCTCCAGGGCTGATTCCCCTCTGCTGCCCACCCTTTTTCCGGGGGTGCTCCCCCTGAGGTGGGGGCTGCTTCCTGGATTCACTGCCCCCCTGGGCAGGGCACAGCATACCTCCCTGCTGTGCAGGAGAGGGGCAGGAAGGAAGGGGAAATGGGAGACAAGCATGAGACAGAGGGGAATGAAGCAGACCAAATGAAAGGACAGGATATGGTTATCAAAGGAGCAGCACAAAGGTGGGTCACCCTCCTTCAGAGGGGAGCTGCACACAGCAGGGGCAGAAATTGCCTGTAGCAGGACACAGGTGCACGTGCCCATCCCACACCAGCACTGTCACTTGCTGCTGGGGCTGCCCTTAGAGTTTGATGTCTCAAAAAATATAAAGGTCTGATTATGAGATGATCCTGGTAGGCCCAAGGATCTCCAACACTGGTGCTGTCAGTCTCTTCCAGTGATGTAAGACCAGGCTGGAATGTGTCTGCAAATGGCAGGGGGGGAACAAGATGAGCTTTAAGGACCTTTCCTACCCAAACCATTCTTTGATCCAATGATAAATACAGGGCAGCTCAAACCAGCTTCACCTGCAGTGTCACCTTTAGTGTAAGGTGGACCTGCCCTTCTGCCATTGCCTGGGGGTGTGGGCACACACATGTGCAGGTTCATTAGCCCACCCCTGGAAACACACGTGGCAATTTAAATTCTTGGGCTCCAAGCTCCCACTGCACTTGTCAGCACAGATTTGTGTCCTTCTCATGAAACAGGTCACTGGTATGAAGTGTACTCTAAAATGATGTCTTGCACAGTTTTGAAAGCTTTGCTGAGCACAATTTTCCCTCTCCAACCTGCAGCCCAGGCCAGTGCCAGCAGCAGGGGCTGGGGTGTGATCCAGAGCCATCTGAGTAGCAGAGAGGATTTTGTTAGGAAGGAAGGGAGCACAACCCAGATTTTGGGAGGCAATTCTATCGCAGCCCATGTGTGCACCTGGCAAACACAGAGATCACAGCAGGGTACATTGTCCCCGGGGCACGGAGCAGGCAGGGGATGATTCTGCCCAGTTCTGCCACCTTCACCCTCCCTTAGACAGGGCTGGAGCTGGGTGTTCCTCACCACCCATCCCTCTGGCACCACCCACTGGGGTGTCCCCAGTCACTGAGCAAAAGGTGAGGGCTGCCCTGTGGGGCTGTACCTGCTGTCACCAGCGTTGGCCACGTAGAACTTGCCCATGAGGTAGATGGCAGCCAGGGCACAGCACCCCCCGGCGAGGTGCTGGGACGCCCGCTCCCGCTCGATCTGGTCGTCCTGGGGAGACAGAGAGGCTGCAGGCTAGGTGGGCAGCCCCAAAGAGCACCTGGCTGCTCCAGCAGCACCTCGGCTCCAGGTGGGAAGCAGTGGCGAGCCAGGGCATCCTTCCCCACACAGCCATGAAGTGGCTGTAGGGCTTGGGGGGCCAGGGGTCTTGTGAAGCATCACAGAGCCCTCTCTGAGATCATCATGCTTGGAGCCCTCCCTGCAGTCCCCTCCTTGCTGCAGAGCTGCCTTTTGCCAGTGGGGTCAAGCTGATGCAGACACAGACAGCAAAGAGGTGCTCCCAGGGGATGGCCTAGGTGATCCTGCAGGCACAGCATCCTCACCATGTGCTTAAAGGCGTTCTCAATGGCACCGATCACCAGGCTCTCATGGGACACTGCTTTCTCCAGGTGAAACCGTGGCACTGCATCGTTCGGGACCTCCCCATGGTCCTCTGTGTAGGACACCTGGGTTGGATCTGCAGGACTGGTCTTTGTGTCGTGTGGGAGGCAGATGGGAGGTGGGGAGGGGTCCTGCAGGATCTCCACCAGGTCCCGGAGCTGCTCACAGATGTGCAGGTGGAGCCTCTCAGATGCCATGACAGCAGCACCACTGCCTGCATGGCCATCAAACAAGGCCCAGTAGTGGAAATAAAAACCTTTTCTGCCCTGCAGGAAGAAGAGGGAAGCTTAAATGAGCCTACAAGGAAGCAGATGGGATGGGGAATTCAGAGCAGCTGGGGCCACCAGCTGAGGACAGTGACACGGGTCTCACAGGTCTCGGTGCAGGCAGGAGCAATGTTGGAGCTGACCAAGGGTGTCAGGACACAGCTGATCCCCGGCTGCAGCCCAGCCCTGTGTCAGACACCTCGTGCCTCCAGCGGCCTCCAAAGGGGAGGAACCACAGCACCAGCACAGCAGCCACCTCTGCAGCCTCCCAGGGCACGTGGGCCACTGGTCTCCCTGGGCCAGCCAGCCCTGGGGTAGTCACACGGGGATGGAGGATGGTAGGAGCAGGTAGAGAGAAGGGCCAGAACCAAGGGAATCCCCAGTGTGCACACATTGCCACGTGTCCCATCACATGCCCTGCTGCTGGGCATCTTCTGTCGTGTCCCTGCTTGTGAACCACCGCAGCTCTCACCCCATCCAGCTCCCCGCTGCCTTCCCTGGACGACAGCCAGCCCCTTGGGCTGGGCCTCTGCTCCACAAACACCACCTCACAGCATGCCTGGTCCTCATTGTGCTGGCTCTTCCCTGCATTTATCACCCTGCCAGGAGGAAAAAAGGTGTAAAGGTCCTTTCTTTCACATCATGTTCTAGCAAAGCCATCTCGCAGCACCTCTTCCCCCCACCCTCAACCCTCCACTCACGTCCCCATGTCCCCAGAGATGCCCTGCACAGGTGCTCCTGTCCTGTCCCAGGTGTTCCAGACCAGTTGTGCAGGTTTGAGCAGCATTGAGTCCCACCCACAGCTGGGCCCAGGGGGGAGCAGTTGTCCACAGACCTACCAAGGGAGGTGACCAGAAATAAACTGGGTTTGCTGAAGGTCCCTAGCACTGCTACAGGCAGAATAATTGCCCCCAAATCTGCATCAGCCTCAAAAATACACCCCCGGGGGACACAGAGAATCATAGCCTCACCCATGTCCCATCACCTCTTGGGGGGAGCAGGGGGCTCAAGGAAGGAGGGGAGAAGGTGACGATGATGAAACCGGCAGAACTTTGCAAAAAGATTCACGCTGACTTTTCCCAGCCTGTGCTGACACAGCAGATTTCAGGTCTAGATTGCAGAACCTGCTCGCTCACAGGAAGAAGCTGTACACAGCAGGGTGATTTTTTTTTTGGGCAGACTTTCCAAGTGGTTTGCAGAAAGAACTCTTGGGGCACCGAAAAGGAGATTTTTTTCACCCTATGTACTACCCCACTATCTTGCCCCAGGGGCAAATCAACAACTCTTAAAGCTCTCTGTGATATCGGGAAGATCAGCTCGAGGAGGGGATGCGGGAATGGGCTGACAGCACTAAGCAGCAAAAGCCCTCAAAGTCTGACCATTCCTGCCCGCTTTCAGTTAGGGCTGAAACTCGCAGCTAGTGAAAGAAGACAATCAGGTCCTTGAAGGGGAAGTCTCAAGCAGTCTCACTCCCAAGAAAGCCCCAGCTCCCTGCTCCCCCCGAGTCCTGCCAGAGGTGCCTCAGCTCCTTCGCCCTCGGTACCCATCGGTGACAGCGGGTTTTGTGCAGAAAGCGCAGAAAACAAAACGTACAGAAGAGCCTAAACCCCTCGGGGATAGGTAAGAGCACAGCCCCTGATGCTCTCTCATCACGGGCATCCACTGGGCCCGCTCCTCCCTGCTGCTGCTGCTGCTGCTGCTGGAAAAGGGACAGACGCAGCTCACCGCCCGCCGCGACCCACTTTCGTCCCCAAGGTCCCCGCTCAGCGCCGGGCGGTGCCATCCTGCCCTCCCCAGGCTGCGACCCTCCGCCCCGCTCCTGCCCCGCTCCTGCCCCGTTCCTGGCCCGCTCCTGCCCCGTTCCTGCCCTGTTCCTGGCCCGTTCCTGCCCCGTTCCTGGCCCCGCTCCCGGCCCCGCTCCCGGCCCCGCTCCCGCTCACTCTGCGTATCCCGTGCTCCAGGGCAGGCGGCCGCGGCTGTCGCGGGGGCTCTGCACCGCCCGCCCCGTGTGGTCATCGGCGCGGCGCAGCTCCTCGGGGGTGAGCTGCAGGAAGGCCGGCCGGCAGAACGCGGCTGGCGGCGGCGATCCCCGGCCGGCCCGGGCTCCGGCCCCGGCTCCGGCCCCGCCGCCCCGGGGTTCTGCGGGGGGCTGCGCCCCCAGCCCCGCCGCCAGCTGCGCCACGGCAGCGCGCACCCGCAGCAGCATCCCGAGCCCGGCCAAACCGAGCCCGGCCAAACCGAACGGAGCCAAACTGAGCCGAGCCGAGCCGAGCCGAGCTCGCCGCCCCGCCCCGCCTCCCGCCCCGCCGCGGTGCGGTGCGGTGAGGATGGGGGGGTGCCAGGCGCGGCCGCTGAGCGCCGCAGCGCGTTCGCGCATCGCCCGCCGCTGTCCCGCAGCCGGCGGAGAACGAACTCCCGGCTCACCAACCCCCGCCGCTATCCCGCAGCCGGGTGGAGCCATCCCGGCGCAGAAAATGCTCTGGGAAAATCTTTCCGACAGGTGAGTTTCCCTACTGCATCGTCCCAAGGCTCCAGCAGAGCCACCGACTTCGGGACAACATTCCCGTCCAGCTCCAGGCGCTTTGTCACCCCTCCCGCACCCCTCAGCCCACGGTCCGGGCTATTAATAACCAGCAGCCTGCGGAGGAGCAAGGACGGGCCGTGGAGGGCTGGAAGCCGAACCTCTCCCCCCCTCTCACCCAGGATGCTGCGCTCCAGCGGGAGCAGGATGCGGATTTAGCTGATCAGAGCAACACATCCTCCCTGGCTGAGAGGGGAAAAGTTGCCGTAAACACCATCGCTTGCACGGCCTAACCTCAGCACCTCCCTGCCTCTGGGCTCCTGTGACAGCAAAAAAAAAGATGAAAAAGCACGGTACTTGCCTACTGTAAGGGGAAATTGAGGCTGTTTCTAAAACTTTATGTGCCCCAGTGCCTCAATTTCACAGAGGAACCTCTGATTCCTTCAACACGGGCCTTTTGCGTTGTAAGTTTCAAGCAGAAGCAGCACTGAGAAGCCGTCCAGGCTTTAGCCATCTTCAGCCAGAGATCTTCAAACTGTACCAGGTTATTAGGATCACGGTATAGAAGTGCCTCAGTGGTACCTGTATTCCCACCTTCTAATCCCAAGATTTAAGGTCTTCAGTACACTTTAAAGCTCATTCAGTACCCTTCAGGATCTGATCTACTGGGCAGCATCCCTGCCCACGGCGGGGGGTTGGAACCAGGTTATCCTTAAGGTCCTTTCTGAGGGGTTGGAAATAGGTGATCTGTAAGGTCCCTTCCAAACCAACCCTTCCAGCCTGAGGCCAGCACCCCTCTAGCTCCTCTCCAGCATTCACGGGTCCTCTCCTCAGCTCCTGATGCTTTCCCCTCACAGCATCCCTGTCTACCTGCTGATCACACACGGGGTGCTCTTAGATTTTCTGAGTGCAATATCATCATGTTATTAAGGCTGACAATTCTCCAGAGAATGTCTCCCTGCTGTGGGACTGCCAGTCTGCCCCGCACTGCTGAGTCACCAGGATGCTTTCCTTGGAAAGAAGGAAATGGCAATTTCCAGACTGACTTCTGTGACCCTGCTTGATATTTGTTATTTCCGTTATGCTGAGCACGGCATGGAAAGAATGGTCTGACAAATAAACACGTTCCTGCAGGAATGCTCCCTGAAACAACGTGGTGCTAAAGACTGTTTTCCAAGAAAGAGGGCTCCGTTTCCCCCTATTCATCCTGCCAGACGGATCCATGTGAAGTTTTCTCCTTATCTAACAGGCTGATGTTCCTCTTCACAGGGTTGCCTGGCACAAGGCCTGGGGATGCAGGTGCTGTAGACTGAGTCAGACTAATGGCTCGGGGGAGGCCAGCACTGGTAAACAGCCACTTCGGATGCCAGCAGCTCTGCCCTTCGCTCTTCCCATCCCTCTGGGAGTCCTGCCTGGGATGCTCATGGCTTCCCTGTCTCCCCATCTCACCCAAAGTGTCCTCTCTGAGCATAGGGGTGTCAGGTTCTCACCTTCCATGGGCACAGCTTCAGGCAAAGCACTCCAGCCTGCTGCCATGATAAACAGTGATTTAAAAATTAGTAACACAGCAATTCATCCTAAATTATGCTATTTTAGTTAATTTCTCATGCAGCTGCTCAGCATTGAAAAAGCCTTTCTAAGTTTCATCTTTCATCTGTGTTGCTGAGCTCCAGAGGAGGTAGGATGGAGCCAGTTATATTTCTTTGTGAAAGAATGACATGTTGGTGGCATTTAAGCCAGAACAGAAGTCAATTAAGCATCTAGATCATAAAAGTACCAGAGGATGTTTTAAAACAGGCTGCAGCACTGCATTAGTTGACTGTAGAGCCTGACTGTGTAATGAGTAATATATTAATTTATAATTAGCATAATACAGTGAAGCTCAGCAAATAGCTCTGTGCACTCTGGATAATTCATCAGCAGAAGAAGCGCTTCTTAATGGTTTCCAAGCTTTGTGTATCCCCTGTAATTGGGAAGTTCAGCATTTATTGTTATTTCTTTGAAGGAATAATTTGAGTGCAAACACACATCTTTATTCCCTGTCTGTTTCTGCTGGAGTGCAGAGAAGCCTTTGGGGCGTTGCTGCTCTGGGTATGTCTGTGACCTCCCTGCAGGTGAGCACATCCGTGTTTGGCAGAGCAGATGACCTGGATTTGGTGCAGACTCCCAGAGGGTGTTACCCTTTCCTCTCCCTCCTGCAAAGGGGAGGGGAGAAGGGGGCACATTAACCTCCTTGGGTCACTTGGCTTTTCCCCCTCTGCTGCTTCAAAATTTTCCATACCATTTTCATATCTCCCAAGGGATCTTCATTCGCAATTTGCTCTTAAAGTCTTCAGGAGCCTCCTGGTCTCATTTAATATTACCTGACAGCAGAAATACAGGAGAAGAATAATAAATGTATAACAAAAACACTCACTGGAATTTATGGAGCGTATGGGAAATTTACTTTTCAATTTGGAAGCTCAGACCCTCATTCCAGAGGATGCAGGGAGCAGGACTTCTCCCTGCTTTTGCAGCAGTGCCCAGGCTTTCCAGAGATCCTCTCCCTGGACTGCTGTTTTGACAGGCTGGGAATCTGCACTGAAATTCCCTGTTGTCAGCAAAACCTGCTGAAAAGGGAACAAAATCCTCAGAGATAGCCTGGAGGCACTGGGGCCTCCTCAGATGAAGAGGATAAATCAACTTCAATCTTAATTCAGTGATCCACTGAAAACAGGGTGGGATAAATCTTCTCCAGGAATAAAATGTCAGGAGTTCTGCTTTTTCCAGTTTTAATAAAATAATTTCCAGTTTTAATAAAATAATTTTACTCTTCTGCCTTTCAGCAGCTGCAGATAAGTTGATCATACTGAGCATTTGAAGTCTTCTGCCATGTCTGTCTGCCTCTGCATAAACATTTGCCCCTAACCCTTCTTGTAGCCCAAGCTTCAATCCATGAGTTTTCCTCCTGAAAAAGAAAAAAAGCTGGTTGCTCACCTGGAAGGTACAGAAGGATTCCAGGGATGTGACAAATTTCTTACATAGGAACAGGATTTATCACTAAGGATACATCAGGAAATGTTGGAAGGGTTTCCTTGGGCAGGTCACAGGAGTCACAGCCAGGGAAGAGGGCAAGGCTGAAGGCTGCTGCTGGACACTCAATTAGAAGTCAGGATGATGATGAGAAGGAATTACTGCGTTCACTTCCAGCAGAATTTAAATTAAATCAGTTTTACTGAAGTCTTAATTCCTCCCCGGCATTTAAATGCTGTGATCCGGAAAGCAACAAGTTTATATTTCTGTATCATTGCATCAATAAAGAGCTGGAGTTTTGTAGGCTTCCATATTAAATAATCTGGCCTGATTTAATTGGAATTTGGCTGGTGTGGAAAATAGCTTTGATTTCGTTTGCTCTTGATCATTCCACTAAAACTTTGTGATCTGAAAGAAGTATGTTTGTATTTACTTATCATAGCACTAGAGACCTGCATTGGCAGGCTCTTGATCAAATTACCTGATGAATATAAACAGCAGATTTAATTTAGTTTCATATTGATTTTTGTCATTATTATTAAAACCCTCTGATCTGAAGAATGAGATACTTGTATTTCCTTAATATCTTATTACTGGGGTTTGGGTTAATCTTGTAGAGCTTGTCCTTTTTCTTTTGAGTAACCAAGTCTAACTAATTGGAATTTAACATATGGCAATTTTGACTCTATAAAGGGAGAAAAGGAACTCGGGTTTCCTAGGACAAAATAGCAAAGTAACTTGTTCTACTCAGGGCCCACTCTCCCCTGGCTACCTGCGTGCATTTTGGGGGCTGTGGTCCCACAGGAGCAGGTGGGTCACCTCAGGGCACCTTGGCTGGGGCCCTTGGCTGGGGCTCGCAGCAGTGCCCTTCCCAAGGGCTGCTTTCTGGGGAAGGGAGAGAGGATGGAAAGGCTTTGGGGATCCCATGGGAAGCAAATGGCTGGGAAATCTGGGAACTGCAAAAAATCCCCATGTGATTTGTCTGGACAGCTGCTGTTCACCTGTAACTCAGCTTGGTCTTGGAAATGATTGCACACTTCCAGCTGAGCAGTGGGCTGGAAGGTCCAGGAGAAAGCAGTGAGCTGCCTTCAGAAACCAAAGGCTTTCGTCCATGTGCCAGAGAATTTCAGCAGAGCAATGCAAATGGGTGCATGTAACTTCAGCCTCTCAGCTCTGCTGAGGTTGCAGGTCTAATTCGTGGCAACAATGTGAAAATTCAACCTTGGCTCTTGCTGTCTGTTGGTGTTTTAAAGCTGGTTGCTGCCTGTTACAAGAGGAGCCATGCAAGCTGTGTCCTGGGGGCACCAGGAGAGGTTTTCTGCGCAAGCCTGGAGCTGCCTTGGGGGAAGAACTGGTCCAGGTTGGTGTTGTGGTCCCAGGTGTTGGAATTCCTTGTGGCAGGGAAAGTCTCCTGCAGGGCCCGATCCAGGCTGGTGACGCTATTTCAGTTTCAGGAAAGCTGAGTTTTGGTGGTTTGACACCAAAGACAGGCTCACGTTTGGAGAAGAGGGCTGCAAGAGTGGGTCCATCTGTCTGTCTGTCCATCCCCACACCATTCAGCACCCCTCCGTGCTTGAGGAACCATCACACCTTCTTTGGTGGGGGAAATTAATTTTTGGGTAAATTAGCTCTTACCAGGTTCATCCTCGGAGGAGGAGAATGCCAGGGCCAGC